ATCCCAACTTAATATGTGTAAAGAAAGTTACCAGTTTCAAACAGAACTCGGAGGAAAACAGACGGATGAAGTCCTTTCTACATCAACTGTGACTAAGGAAGATAAAACCGAGGACCTTGTGGTGGTGCCAGAAAAACTTTATGCGTAGGGTATAAGCTGATGAAGTCGTTTCCTCTTTCGCAGCATTTGAGTTTTTTCAGTTTAGCAAATTAACGTCTTTCTAAAAACTAGTTGATTTGAATTGGTTTGCAATGAGATAAATTTAAAAAAGATTGACTTAAAGTTCGAACTTGTCTTTTTCTGTTCTTTCCTTTATGTGAATTGTTTTCATTCCTGGTAATATGTCTTATTTATACAATTCGTAGAGGAGCCTATCAACTCAATATTCGTTAAGGGTCTACAGCACAATCACAAGAAAAAAACAAAGGTGTGGTGTTGATTGCAAATAGTACCCAAACTTAGTGTTCATTATACGTTGTTAACTTAAGAAGAATTAAACGCGATCACCTCTCATCACACAACGTTAAGAAACTTGCAGTATAAATATATTCAGTTATCCATGTTACTTAGGTTAGGTTAAATTAAATAAGTTAGTAGCTGTGTATCTAGCGATTAATAGTTTTTTCATGTTCTTTTAAAACGTTATTCTTTGCTTAAACACAACAAAATAGGGGCAGTGAATATGTGTGCGCCACATCGAGAAAAATCGAACGATAATTTTCTTTCTCAGATATATTTTGGAGGTGCTCGCCGAGCAAACGGTAACGTTCCTGTTCATGGAACGGTAAAACTGTGACTATAACACAGTTATGGCTAAATCGCTACGTGAATACAAGGCGTTTTAAATACCATTTACTTAAAAAAAAATGGAGTGAACTACTTCCATCCATCTGTGGCAGTTAGAAGATGGAGAGGTAGATTCGAAGATCAGAGGAAATGAAGAGATTTGAAGAGATAACTCGAAAAATAAGATATGATGGCGTCCCTTGCCTGGCGATGGTACTTCTGAAGATATGGACGCGGTGATACTTGCAAGAAAGCAGAAAATTAATATCAGGGACTATTAAAGAGCGTGCACTCTTCTGGCATCCTGATAAGTTCTTTTCTCGTTTTGACAAAAATATGCGAAGAGGATCGCCCGTAAATGACTGACGGGATCCTCATTATTTCTAAACAAATCAAGTCAGTTCCAGAAGGGGAACGATATGAATTGCTGTTGCGTTGAAAAGTCATCAGAATCCTGATGTCGTACGATATTAAAAAAAAGAAATCGTTGGTAGAGTTCTTTTAGTCTCGCAAGTAATTTCTTTATTGGCTCTCACATTCTTTACCGATTGAACCATTATCAACTTTGGAGAATATTACTATGGAAGTTTTTCCTAATATTTGAATAATCTTTCCCTTGAAAGCTTATTTCGATTACATTGCAAAGCCATTTGTTTTAGTAAATAATATCTTCATTAAAAGACCTTGTTGTTGTTCTCGTTCTGTTAAAGAAATAGTCGCTACCTAAATTTAAACAGCGCCACTTGAGTATTTTTTAACAGGGTAAGAATTAGGAGACCCGTAGTACTCCATTTACGCAACTCGACGAAGCCGTATCCTTCGTGAGTTATAATTTATGCGTCGAGCTCTTTTCGGCACGATACTCTAATCGGCATTTTACAAGCTCCACGCTGGCGTCCAGATTTCCAACAAAGAAGTCACGTCAAAACAAAATTTGTCATACATAAAAATTAAGAACGAGGTTTCTTTTTATTTAGGCGAGTACCAGCCTTGATACAAAAACATTAACAATCGCCTCGAATCGTAATTTGAAATATGTCTGTCGATTCGTTGTCTTGCTTCTCAACACATTTTTCTCGCGGGTTTTTCTTTTGCCTAGTTGTGTCGCCTTTCTTAACGCTCTACTGAGCGATCGTGATAGAAAAACGGCTCTGCCACTATATGGGCTATAATCTCGCATTTGATATTGGGAGGAATTCCTCTACTTTTAGCGAATTTATAGGTATTTAGATTTGACCGATTTTCGTCAAATTTCCCCCAAAACATTCCAGGAACAAGGACAAACGAAAGTGTGTCGGGAAATTCGAAATATTTGATATTCGAGATATTTGTCCCGTGGCGTCCATTTATGTAACACGCTTCGCATATTTTAGCTACTCCAACTTTAGATGCCGATATCTAGACAACTAATCAGAATATCGAAAACTGCGTGACACACTTAAGTTGATTGACGTCTTGTGAATAAGACTGTGCAGGTATTTTGCTTGTGCTGCGGCATGCAATACCCGATAGATTCATTAGAAGAAACCCTCAGTCGTTTCACGCCTTATAGGCTCCTAACACTTCCTAAAAGAAAAACTCGCTCAAATTATATTTACATCATAAACTGCATTTATTAAGCTTTCTTCTGGTGTATAGTTTGCAAGGATTTCAGAGACACTAGGGCGCGTATGAACTTTTTCCCGAAGGACACCCCCCAACGTGGGACTGGTAACCAGCGTCTCGACAACTTGAGCGAAATTCAACATCTGAGTTGGTTTTAAACTGCTTTTAGCAAACGGATTGATTTTAGCTTGGTTGTGAAGTACAAAAAAAGAAGGTCTGTTCTTGGAGCTCCTCCATGTTACACTGACATCCTTGCAACAGTAGTTATACAAAGATATATATGTGTAGATCATGTAGGCCATTTACAAGTAATGACGTGAAACAAAAGTGATAGAATGATGGTGTGTCACCTTCAGAAAGATAAGAAAACCTTCATGTTCAGATGTTGATCAGAAGTAGAGATCTTGTGATGATGCATTTCACGGCTGGCCACAACATCAAGGGAGAGCAGAAATCTATTTTTTTTTTAAAAGTTTTTGGTAAACTATTGCCCTGTTCAAGAGCAAGGGAAAATTTTAGCGATTAGGTGATATTAAAATCCAACAGGATAAACGTAAGAACAAATCTGACAATCATAGACCTCATTTCATTCTTGTGACAAAATCTTCCTCTCTGATTTATGTCAGGCGAGCTCTTAATTTTACCTCTCATGGATGAGCTTCTCTACAGTTAAACTAATTTCGACATATCTCTGCTCAGAATGTTTTTTCATTTTAACAAAAAGGCATTGGCTTCTATTATTACAGTAATATGGACCATTTACGTGAGCACTTATGTTCAATTTCACCTTTCAATATAATATGACAATATTCATCTTCTGTTTAAATAAAACTCGGGCTACCTCTAAGTAGAAGAACACCAGAGATGTACAACGAATATTGCAGAACAAATGACTACAAAACCTGTAATCTGTCTTTAACATATCGACAATCTGAAACTGAAAGCTTAGGTAACAAGTGATCCGAGAAAGGTTTAAAGATTGTTTATTTCAATGACAATCCTCCTTTTGAAGTGACAATAGAGTAATATTGGAAAACAAGGGAAACACATCTTGGTCAAATTTTGTACGCGACCACGTTCTATTATTTACACCATCCATGGACAAATATTGAGCCCAATAAAGCTATAAAGAAAACCTAATTATAATTTCCTCCATATATTTACAGACAATTGATGAGTTTTTTACACTAACATCTTCGAAAAATGAAATTATTTATGCAACAAAACTGACTAGTCTTTCCACCGCCTTTTTTGTCGGTAAAAATCTCCCTTGTAAAATGAACAAAGTCTAATATAAGAAATTAAAATGTAACTTTAAAAAAATAGTCTTGGTAATCTGTCTCCAACTGTCAAATTCACTCGTAAATATATTCATATACTCACTTTCAGGCTTTTAGAACAGAAAAAAATAAAATTTAGATATGTTTCTTTTCAAAAGTGAAGTAAATCAAATAATCTCCTATTCCTCTTGGTCTGAGTTCTTCTTCTGCATGCAAGGTAGTCTGTAGATTTTGGGACAACAATCGACTTCTTGCGCGCGAAGTGGGGAATAACCCGATAAAGTCATCCATATTGTACCTCGCGGACCCAAGTAAGGAATCAGCAACGCCACAATGATCATCACTAGAAAGTCAATGAGAGCAAAGTAGCGAAAATACGGATCCGTACCAAATCTGCGAATCAAAATTCCTCCTATCAGCTGACCGAGCCCTCTGCCAAGACCGTAGTACAGGCCGTGTAAAATACCTTGCAGTGTAGCACCAACACGGGGAGGAGTGCCCACATAGGACGCCAGAGCACACCATACAGACGCCGAGCACAGCCCACGGAGAAACTCAATCGGTAACACCAGCCAAGGATTCTCAATGGCGGAAAAGTAGTAAAACCTCAACGCGTAAATCAACAGCCCAAGTGTGAGCATCTTCATATGGCCGATGCTTTCAAGGAAGTATATAGAGCCGTAATACATCGCAACATTTGAGATACAATGCACGGCGACCAGTGCACTGAATAAGGACGGCGAGGCGCCAAGCTCTACCAAGTGAACAAACAGGAAAGTTTCCGCTGATCCTAAGGCGGCCCCAAGGAAAAGAGCAATCATGGCGAAGATCAAATACTCAATTTTGCCGAATATCTGTAGGCCTTTAAACAGGGCAATTTTTTCATTCACATACTTGTCTGAATCTTGAAAGTTAAAGCGGGTCGACACAAACAGAGCGACTGCCATTAGAATAGCATTCACGTAAAAGAAAGGTCGGTAAATGTCAAACACGTCTTCTGGACAAATATCCACCTGTTTTTTGTACTGCCCCTGTACAACACAGCCTGTAATGAAAGCTGATACTCCCAAGCCGACTTCCCCCCACAAACGTTGCTCTCCGTAGTACTGCGGACGGTTGTCCAAGTTTTGAAATGTAGCCACATCCGCGAGCGTGTTAGACGTGGCACCAAGAAGTTCACCAACTGTGGTGATTATCAAGATAACAAGAAACACTACTTTAGCATTCTTGTAAATCTTCGGATCCATTTCGGTGTAAAGATCGAAAAGCCAGGCTTCTTGCCACATCTCAGTGTTTCCGATTGAAGTAATGTTACCTGCTTCTACGTGATTTTCTTTCGTGATGCCATGGAGACGATGAATGGTGTCGTTTGGGTGCGAAATGTTCAGTTTGTCGTGGACTTCGCTGAGGCAATCTATGCTCACAGGAGGAACCACAGCAACAAGGAGATTCATGACAATGTAACTGAATAGCGCGATTAGTAACACTGTTCTGACCTTGTTGTACTTGTCTGCGATGGTTCCAAGAATTGGCGCACTCACAAACAGGCAAAGAGGCTTCACTGCCAGTATGATGCCCACAAAATGAGCTGGCAGCAAAAGCGAGTGCTTAAAATAAAGTGATAAATATGGTACGAGGCTGCCAAGCGCGGCAAAATAAAAGAAATAAAAAACCTTGTAGACGAGGAGGTTTTGGTTGATAGCAACAGCCTCGCGAATCATGTTGAACCAAGATGTCGTCTGGCTGGCTTGCTTGCTTTCCTGTGACTTGGGTTCAACTGCTTCCTCGTCGGGATTAAATAAATCCCCATAGTTTGTTCCTAATTCGTCGGTTTTCAGAAGCGCTCCTTCCTCAGACATAACTTTAACCGTTGTGATTATGAATTTATATCCCTTGAAGCTTCAAAGAACATCAACCTCCCATGCCGAAGCGCTAGCGCTTTAAACTGGCGGTTTCAGTTTTCAGTTTTGCTTGGGTAGCTAAGCTGAACAGATGTTCTTTGATTTTAACTCACGGAAATTTGCATGAGCCAGGAAAAACATCCAACCGCCTATATCGCTGTCTGAGATATTGATGATAATTCAATGGCACATTTCACATCTCTTTCCGCCGCACTTGACATGATTGACAGGCATTGATTAGACACAGTTGAACGATTGTAATAATCAACGTTCTTTGTGCGTCAGTGTGACATTGTCATCAATATATTTGTGCTCTTAGCGTCTTATGCGGTAGTAAACGATCGAAAATATAACCGATGTCATAACTATTCGTTTTACGATTCTAAATGAAAGAAAGATTCTCCTTATCAAAATTCTCAGTCAAACGCCGTTTATGCCGCGAAATACCCAACAAAATGTTCACTTACAAGAAAAAAGTCAAAAAAGCCTTCTTTTGTCGCTATTGTGCTCCTGATGAGGCTTAAGAGCGACAATACCAGTTGGAATATTAATAATTTTGCTATTGTGGGCTGCTTTGAATCCATAATATGTTTCCACACTATGAAGAAATATTCTAAACCCAATTTTTGACGAAAATTTACACGAACCCAAACCAAAATCAACGCAAACTAATTTAGATAACAAAAAGAAAATATCCACAAAAATGTAAACGTATTTATGCCGCAAATTTGTTCAAAATTGCATCAAGTCCTAAAACCTGATTTTGCAATTCAAATGACCAAAAAGCGTCAGTATTCAAGCACTCAATTTTTTTTTTTTGCACAATTTATGGTGAGGTGGGAACGCCAAACAAATTTATAAAAAAAATGAAATGATGTTTTATCCAAATAGTGTACGTAAGTTGCGGCGAGGTACAAAATTTACGGTTTCTGCTCTAAAAAAATTGTCACCAAGCCAAAGCATCCGGTAATTTTGAACTGCTGCATTATAAGTCATCTTTCAATCGGGAACTGGTCATGTTCGACAGTGGAAAAAGCCAGCTTTGCTTTTGTGCAGTAATTATTTTGCAATCTTACTGCGATGGTATAAAAAAAAAACCTTCATAGTAACACGCGTTCGCATCGCAGTTATCTTTCATTAATTTCCCTATGCTCGCATTTATTTCAAAGAGTAAACCAAAGTATTGAGATCTGGGAAAATGAGAATAATTCTGAGGAAGAGTAAGGTTTCCTTAACATTTCACCGTTGATGAGATTGATGTATCCTTATATATATATTTTTTTTCTTATCTTAAGCAATACAGATAAGCATGCGACAATATAGATACAGATTTTATCTGAGAACTGAAATCAAGTCCCGCTTGCTAAAAACATACTACGAACAATTCTACTTGATAACAGCTTATGCTCTAACGCAAGACATTTTATAGCAGTTTTACGTTACTACCATGTAGCTTTCTTCAAATAAAAAGGAATATTTATCTTCAACACAGGAGTGTTTAATGACTTGTTGACTTTGAGAACTGGATATGAAATCAGCAAGAAGCAAGGCATACATTTCATGACGGCAAACGGTTTAAAGCAGCTTTCTTTTGCTACATTAATGAGGCCATGGTGTACATATTGAAAGAAAGTAAACAAGATGAGATAAAATTTTTGTCAAGTAGTTTCCACAACATTATCGTTATGGTTCTCACTAAAACACTCCCACTAAAAGGAGATAAAGAGAATGTTTTTGAAAGTGAGACTCTTTCAAGGAATGAAGTAAATCTTTTTCACAATAAGGCCACCACAGCACCTTAATTCGGAATATTTTACAGTATATTATTTTCATCAAAATCGCTTTCGAAACTGAAAAATCATCTCACTTTCATTAATAACTACTAGTAATTACTACACCGAAAAACATCTCACACACTTCTATCATCAAGTTGATGGATGACGAACTTTCGAATTTCCTCTACCTTAGGACATGTTAACACTTTTCGCAATTTTCAAGCTTGAAAAAATATTAAATAATGTTAACGAGCTGCTTGACTGGAGCAGAGGATGACCAGTAATCTTTTCTGGCGGCTAGTGCCAATTCCATTAGTCCCACACTTTTGATCACATCCGACAAAATAAGGGACATTGATTTTTTATTTTTTCTCCTATTTTCGCTTTAGAATACGGGAGATCTTGACTGAGTTACGTAGATGAGCAATCAATTACGCCTATTAATTTATTTAATTTATTTGATTCATTTTGAACTGATCCTTGATCCTTGATCCGATGATCCTTAATCCAGTTTTTCCAGGAAACCGAATTTTAACGTATATTGCCTGTCCGAGGCAATATAGAGAAAAAAAAACATAATTTATTCAGATAGTGCCCTCAAATTGACCAAAGCAGTCAGATCAATTTGTTAGCCCCTCGTTTCCCTGTCGGATCAAGCATCTGTCAGGATTCCAGCGAGTATTCTTAAGAATTTAAGTCCAAGGAGGCAGCATTGCCAATTAAGCTACCCAGTGTTCACTGCGTTACTTTGCTCTTGATTATCCTGTGTTCACTGCATTTGCTCTTAGTTACTCTGTTTACTGCATTTGCTCTTGGCTATTCTGTGTTTACTGCATTTGCTCATGGTTACCCTGAGTTCACTGCATTTGCTCTGGAGTTCCACTGAATACATGTAGCTACTCTCGGTGAGAGGCAACTTGTCCACCCTGCCTGATGGCATTTTTTTTAATGATAAACTAGTGGGAAGCACTGCACAAACTGAAGTAGTAAAAACCTGTTTAAATCTCCTACACTTTTTGTCTGACAAATTATATCTGACTTTATCAGGGAGTTTTTTAGAAGTACGTCAAAGCTTGTTTGTATACTCTATATACACATAGTAAATATGATAACTATTTTTAACCTTTACACATAGTATGAAGCCAGCGGAAAGTATTCACAAGGGTGACATTGTATGTTACTATGAAAGTTAATTAACTATACTTGTGTCTCACTGTATATTACTTAATATACACTCAACCTCAAGTAAAACTGCAGCTAGATGCATGTCTGTAAAGGTCATTTTTAAAATCTTAAACATTACTAAAATAGCTGATAATGAATTTAATCCATCTGGAATGAATGAAAGGAGTTGGACTACACCAAGTGATGAAAATTGCATCTTTAAGTAAAGAATTGTGACAACTTCAGTGAGTTACTCGATTTTACAAACTTAAAACAGTACTGGTGATGATTCCATTGTGATTCTCCACAATTTCAAAACACCACAAGATGGACCTGCAAAAAAGAATAGAAAACAGAAAGAAAAAAGGGGACCTGCAATCAAGTAAATTGAATTTATTTGAGTGGTGGTTCGCTGACACAAATTGTATTCCTATAAAGCAATATGTGTCAAAATTATTTTTTGTCACATTAATAGATCAGTACTTTAGTTGTTGTAAATTGGCTGGTACTCTGGCATACACAGTTGTACAGTAGGTGACATTGTCCCCTTGAACTGTCACCCCAAGTTCCATCACCCCAGAAGGTTTTATTGTCCCCAACTTGAATTTGCATCACCGTAACTTTTGACTTAAGTTCAACTGCCCAAGTATCAAAACCATCTCTGGAAAAAGGGATGATAGGGATTGCCAAGTTACTATTACTTACAACTTGTTGGTTATTTGCATTAATAATTTTCCAATTAAATAAATTCAATAACTTTCTCCAAGCCTTAACCTTATGTCAAAATACACTTACAAAAAACAGAATCATACTTCAGGGTGACATGACTTCCTTTGGGGTGACAGAACTTGTGGGCAATGCAACTTGTTACCACATACACAGACAGTGGTGGCAGATCACCACTCTGAAGAGTGATCTTACACACACACCTAGGTAACACTTCAGGCCTGGGTTGTTCAAAGCTGGGCTAAGGAAACCCAGGGTTAGAGTGAAATTTGATTTCAGGTCTGAAAGCTTTAAAAGAAGATTCAGTACAAATCTTTTTGATGGCAATTTGATCACTGGATGTTTTAAAAGGAATAGTGAAAATTTTCCCTAAAAGACTTTTGAATGAAGAAATAAAAAAACCTGGATTAAAATTTAACCTTAGGTTAACGCTAATCAGCATTTGCTGGGCCCAGTTTTGCAAGAAGTGATTATCTCACCAAACTTTCAATAATTTTCCAAGTTTACTTGTGGAATGAAAACATGGATAAATAAACAGGTTTAAAGCTGTCAAAAGGCCCAATTTATGCAAATGCTTTTGATGTTAAATTAATCATAGTCTTCACTGCACTTAAGTTGCAACTCATTAATAATTATTGTCCCTGTAAAATCCTTAATATGACTTGATGAAATTGGTTTTAGGAGATGGAGCCCCTTGCAAAATTTGATCATGAACTTGTAAAAGCAGGGGCTTTGTTATACAGCATCCTTACCAGTTTGGTAAATGATTATTGCAGCAATTAAAGGAAATTTAGTGTTGTGATATCAGAGGAGTAAGGATTATGTTTGTTTGCAACAGTCATTGAATGCGGGACTCGGGCAATTAATAAGTTTGCCTAAAGCAGTTCAACCATTGCCTATGGAGGAACAGTAACACCAACTTATTTCTCTTCTTCCGCATCCATCTATATTTGGCAGCACACTTTGGAGTTCATTATAATTAAGTCATTTCATTTTATGGCACACAACACCACTTACTACTGCTTTAGTACAAATTAAAACTTGATTGTCACACTGGTTATTACAAATATAGGATTAGAGGGGTGATTTCATCAAGACATAAGCTGAGACAGTATGAGAGAAATTGTGACAGCATGGATGTCTAAACAGAACCTAAACACGAGGGAAATCTCTCTCAATCCATGAGGATTGGAATGTGCCACTCCCAGCTATTGAAAACAAAAAATCCACAGAGAAGGAACAGGCTTCATGTGGTAATGGTCTAACCATTTGACCTTATCATCTGACGAAGACTGGAAGAATGCAGACAGTACATGCAAAACAATTCCATCTTGAAACAGTGTTAGATGAGACTCAATAACCCTTCCACTTCCCCAGAATTTTTCAGTCTTATTGGCCCCAAGTAAAGAATTGTGTTATCTATAAAATTTTACTCATAACAAATACGGCTCTCAACAATTTGGCACCTTCCTAATCATGTGATATACCACACCTTACCCTCCATCATAACAGGGAACCCCACTTTTTAGGACTGGAGAAATTTTTCGAATAGGAGTGTCCGTACAGGTCTATTCCAATCCCATAACATTTCAAATCGTAGAGACAAGTTACGCTGAGATCAGTTTGGAAGAGCAGATAGATTGAAACTTAATACAATCAAAAGTTGCAACTTAAGTGTTACAAAAATTACACACAGTTAAATAACAAAATAGGCATAAACAGTGCTCACCTGGTAGCAAAAAAAAAGAAAACAGAAGTCAGCTCAAGTGATTGCTGGTTCAATTATCAGACCTGTCTCGAGGACACTTGCACTTCTGGTCTTCAGGTACATCCCTCATTACTGCTTCAGCATGTTTACCACAGCCTCAAATAAGAAGAACAAGAAATCAAATAGACTAAAAGTAAAAATGTCTCCGGTAAAATTTCCGCATAGGTCCACACCATTGTAAAATAAATCTGTTTTCCCAGTGGAACTGTATTGTTTTTGTCATTGTTTTCTCTATCCAAGAACTGAATGCATAATGTAGTATGGGGCTGTGCGGAAACTTTGCCTAAGATGTTACTACACTTACAAGGTGATCATTACAGCACGTTCAAGAGTGTATCCTGTATGACATATGAATTCACCGTATAATTTTTCCTGTCACTACTGTTATTATTATTATTAAGATTTTTCACATATTTTTGCCTATTTACTCTTTAAGTGTGTGTAGTGTGCTAGAAATTTCCAGACACGTAAATTATGAGTCACCATCAAACTCAAGCAAATGTAACACACTTGGCAAGCGTGGAAAACATTTCGACGTGATCTCGGTTGATATTTTCAAAAAAAGGTTCTTGTTATTTTTCGGTTGCTTACCTTTCCACGTTGTCTTCTCACACTTGTCGCACTGAACCTTAAAACACATTGTATTAAAGGTAAAACAACTCGAAAGAGTTTGCTACAGATTTTCAAGTCAGTCGCTCTTGAGTTTAATTTCATCCCCAGGATCTCCCGGTTTTCAAATCGCCCGCAGTAGAGCCGCGGTGCGTTCACCGCCACCTGTTGATGTGACAGCCATGAACAGTTACAGGGGGTTAAAATAATGCCCTGAATCCCCTGAATTAATTATTTAACCAATCGACGCATGAGACATTCCTTGGCGTCTATTGTACATGTCAATTCCAATCAATAACTTGATTCGGTTTCTTGTTCTTTCAGATATCAGGAATTATGCAATTTTTGACCTTTTCTGTAAGACCTTGTGGAACGCCAGAGCGGGAGGCGAAAATCCTTTCCAGCTATACGATACTCAAGCCGCAGCACCTCTGAGTAATTTCTCGAATTTCTCGCAGGCTATCCCTTTCCAGCCTATCAGAATTTGCAAATAGAGTGACGAGATTTTGGCAGCATACGCGTTTTTGCAATCGTGTTACATGAAAAATGCACTCGTTTTCAGCCAATCAAAGGCGCGTCATTTTTTCATGTGTATTATTAAGGCTATGACTGACCACTTGATGTACAGAATCTCGCTCGAAAATACTACTTACTTTGATTTTGGTAGAGAAAAATGGATTAAAAATCTTTTTTCTTTTTTTGAGTGATCCTGCTTTCAGTGACCGTTCAATACATGGGGAGGTAATAAAAACAGGCCGTTGGGACTTAAAAAAAAGGGCGTTTAATAGAGGTGAATATTACAGTGGGAAAGAAATTAGGGACTTCTAACACTGAGCGGTTGATACGGGGTGACCGCTGAATACGGTGCCGCTAAATACAGGTTCGATTGTACCCTCTGATCATGAATTGTTTTTTCCCCTGTGGTTTTTTGTGTTCTGAATGGAAGGGAGGCCATAGAGACAATTCCTCAATACAAAGATTATTCGAATTTGTATCTGATTAATTGTAGTGGACGTCAATAAGTCAATACACAGGGATCTTTTTTGCGTAAAAGTTTTCTCCCATGATTAGCATGAGTGCTATGTTGTGTTCACGATTGTGGCGTTTTCCTATAAAAATCTTTCGGTATAAACGCTATCTGAAAATCTCAGATCTGTTCTAGAAATCTTGTTTTGAAGGAGCATCTCTCATAAAGTGCCGCACAGGTTTTGCGTTCAAGGGTCAGTGGGAGGTTTGACTTATGCTGCTACGTCTACTTATTGCATGTATTGCTTTAATTACAACCTGAATACATAAAAACAAATTGTCAATCGGCCTCAAAATGTCAATTAAAGACAAGCACATTCTCAAGCGAGGAAATTGCAGTAAAAATCTTAAAAAACAAATGAACAAGCGAGGTAAAATTTCATTTCAACCCAAGATTATCATGTTTTGTTACTTTTCGTTGCTTTTCCTCTCGTTTCTGAATGTATTTCAGATAAACGTTTTCAAAATAGAATTGACATGCAGCTGGCAAAGTCTCAAATTAAGAAAAATTGGAAACAAACAAACATAAGTAAACTCTTTCGTCCGATCACTTAATCAGATGTGATCTTTGGTTCAGTACTGGCTTGCACTGACGGCTGGATTTCACATTTATCCTTACGAACCTGCTCCCAATTTTACCCTTTCTTGTTAGTGGTTCGGCCCTTGCTTTGTTTCATCAGTACAGAGAGTCCTTTTAAAGTCTTTGGAAAACACTCAGACCAATTATTCAGTTTCAAGAAGGCTCTAAGTTATATTGATAATTCACGAACCGCAAAAGTGAAAGAATGACTGGAGGTAAGGGAAATATTTCTCAAGAGCTCACCTGTCTTAGTATCTCTCACGAGTCTGAAAACACAGGTGTTATGATCACAAGTATGGTTTTACACATCGTCGTCTCCATATTGACAGCACTGGAAAATCTTTTGGTTCTTGTTTCAATTTTGGGAAGTTCTAGCTTACGGGTTTCACCGTCGAATATTCTTCTATGCGGTCTCGTCCTATCGGATTTATGTACTGGACTGATATCAGAAACGTGTTTCATTACATTGCAAATTTTGGTTTACCAAAACAAACTCAATTCATGCGTGTTTCCAACCGTCCATGCCATCATATCTTCGTTCCTTAAAGAAGTAAGTCTTTTTACAGTAACAGCTATAAGCATTGACCGTTACTTTGCGATATATTTTCATCTACGATACTCAGAAATAGTCACAGAGAAAAGAGCACGGATCGCATTGGTGTGCATATGGTTTATAAGTGGCATAGGATCCATAGCATGGAGTTCTGGCAATGTGGCGTTTTCTCAAGTCATGTTGGTTGTGACAACTGTTTGCCTTGTTGCCATGTTTTACACTTGGACTAAAATCTACCAAGTAATGCGTCGCCATCAGGCTCAGATCCATGAACAAAGGAACACTCCACCACATTTAATTGACATGTGCAGGTTTAAAAAATCATTCACTAATACCATATATATTTTAATGATTTTTCTCGTCTGTTATCTCCCTTATCTCCTAATTTCTTTTATATTTTCTTATAAATTAAATCCAACAGATGCAAAATTTTCGTTTGCAATGATCTTTTATCTTTGCGCACTTCTGAATTCATTGCTAAATCCATTACTGTACTGTTGGCGTGATCATGATATTCGCAATGCAGCTAAACAAACTGTGATAAAATTATTCTGTAGTAGACAATAACAACAAGAAGTGAGCTATTGTTGTATGCTGACGTTATTGTGACATTAGCCATGCAGCTAAACAAACGCTATGTCTTCAGTTTTAGCAGCGAAAGGTGCACACAAAGGATGGAGTGGTTCGTAACATCATTTCATGCGTAAGTCTTAGCAAATGGACGCGTCACGTACACTTCTGCTGCAGTAGCACGGATGACCAGTAATAAATTAAAGGCCTCGCATCCTCCTCTGCTTGTAAATAAACCAAGGGGGTCATGATTAGCAAGAAAAATTTCCGTTTCTCACTGTAGCATGTCATTAGTTGTAACAAAGGATGCATTTGTTAAAGATGTTACACGTGTGTTGTAAATGTATCAAGTAACTCTTAACTTGCAGAATTTCGAATGGTTACTGCTAAGATTAGGCAATTTCTAGGGATAAATTTACCTGTACATTTTCAATCATCATAATTCGGCCATAAGCACGAATAAGAAATGGAAATAAATGTTAAAAAATAAATACTTTAAAGTTATGCTCAATGCTTGGTTTTGCTGACCAATTATTTTTGAACAGGTCTACAACTGGTTGATTCAAAGTGCCTAGGTTGTAGCGTTAATCTGTTAAGGATGCCATGTAGAATTCTAAAAATAATTGGGCATGGATAATGAATGAAGTGTAGTTGGGCATATGAAAAAAAAATCCTCCCTTGAAGAATCACGGAGCTGCCAGTATAGAGAACCTTAAAAAAATATTTCACTTTTAACGATATTAGAGAAATAGTTCACAAGTCAAGTACATCTCAGCGGAGATTTCATGAATAACGAATCACGTTCCTCGATCAGTATTTACCATCTCCAAGTGGCTGTGCGCTCTCTATTTGAAAAAATTTAAAACCATAGTTGATTCAATCATTTTCAATAACTTAACTTTTTATTATCACGAGTAAAATCTATTGCACACCTGGAAATAAAAAACTGTTGTTGTCATTTGTAACTTTTTCCTAATTACCATGATGCATCAGAGCTACTTCTTGTTCCACTTGAGGGGTCTTACAGACACCCTTTCCGAACCCTAATATAAAATTTGGTTTGGCTCATAGTTGAATATCCAAAGAAGAACTGGAAATGATGACCGATTAGACACGTAAATGTTGACCAGAAAATTACTCATATACGGTGGATTGTCTGCAAATTATGGAATTAAAAAGTTCGGAACTAGAAACTAGAGTCCAATTAACAAAACTTGAGTAAAACTTGAGGAAAAGTACCTTTAATGACTGTGGAATCACTATCTAACTATTTTTTATTCTAATTTCCGCAACATGGAACTTCAGCTCAACTAGACATAACCCACTTGACCAAAATTCATGTTCATTCCTCTTCTTTCTATAATAAAAACCACTTTACATAAACATGTACAAGATATGTGTCATTGTACCTATTTCTTACAATATTACAAGACACTAAGAATACATATCACGGTAAATTTGGCTCAAGCTTAGTATTTGAACCTGTTAAGTTCACTAGTAAAATAAAACAAACAAAACAAGAAGCCAAAGCAATAGAAAAGCAAAGAAACTAGGAAACCATTTGTACCCAAACAGAGTTACACTTCACAGGTTCATGCACCAATGAAAACCAACAAATTTTTGTGAGCAGAACACATTCAACATCTCCTCATGTATTGACGAGCAAAATATTCTTCCTGTAGGATGGATAATAATTTACCATAAAAGGTGTAACCCATACCTAACTTTTATCAAGCCTTAAGTTACTTAAAAAATTTTTCTTAAATCATATTTTACAATGGGCTCACAATATTTTTGCCTCTGTCGAAGCATTATGGCGATTCTTGGGGAATTAATATGCCTAGATCATGGCATCCAGTATAAAGCTACAACCTTGGCTTATGAAAGACTAAGCACTGAAAAGAATTCCATGGTAAATGTTCTTGGAACTTAAAATTAGCTACTATGGATACTCAACAAATTCACATAGCAATGGAGTTACCAGTTAAAGTTAAATACTAATAATCAGTGTTTCAATCTAATTTTTGGCTAGAACTGGAAGGCCAAATTCATCAACTTGTACTCCATCCTGAAACAGATTAGAAGTGAACAAAAAAACCATTAAAAAAAAAGATGATCAAAACAAGGCAAATTACATGCAAGTTAGAACAGAATTTGTTACAATCAATAAGGGAGGGTGGGCTGAGGATGGGGAGGAAGAGAAAGATGTATACTGTCTTGCATTTGCCTGAGGCTTAATTGAAGTATTGATTCAGTTCTGAGCACTCCCCTTGTCCAAACCCATTCTCAGTAACATAGGTAACAAAGCAAGAATAAAGGGGGTAAGTTTTGAAAAAAATTGTGGTGCTGCATCAGTGGGAGAGTATAACAGGGTAATTTAGTATTATCATGTTGATTTTGTAAATTGGACACTGTAAAGAGACTAAAAGCTGATGTTTCAAGCATTAGCCCTTTGTCAGTGCAAGAGTTACATTAATTCTAGTTTATGACATGTACCATGTAAGTAAAAGGCCTGATGAAACATAATCAACAGGGATCAACTGAGTTATATTGACCCTCATAAATGCAGAAAATTCATTTTTTAAAACTATGCATGATATAAAAAACTTGCTTATCATAATATAATATTTTGGATTCCAAAGTAACATCAGTGACCCAAAACTGGAGAAGACTCTTATGTAAGAAACCACTGAAGGCTTGCTCTTAGAAATGTGATATACACAGGCAGCTTCCAGTAGTTATCAAGCTGAGGTTTCACAAGTCATTACCATGAGTTATTGCTGGATTAAGTTTTTTAGAGGGAAGTTATAACTTGGAAATTTGCACAAATCTTTCTTTTAAGAAATAGAACAGTCAGAGTCCATTAACAAATTTCACCACTGAAAACATTATATCAGGAGTGGAACTGACATAGAGTGGCTGAAAACAATGACAATCATTTTTAACATGATAAACAACTGTACTTGTGTTTTTGTTCCTTCCTGATCTCCCTCCCCTGGTAAGGTATCTGATGGAGCTGGAACTTCATCTAAGTAGGAGGTGTCTTCATCTAGAGCCAGGTCATCTCCAAGAGCTTCCAATTCTGTATAAAATGTCACCACAAACAAGTATCACTTGGTCTATAAGCCTCCCAGAATTGCTTTCATTAATCATCTGACTAAATAACAAGCTAATATGTGATACAGCAAACCTGCTTCAAGGTCAGCCTCATCAATGTCTTCTGGCATTCCATACGATCTTCCCAAGGTGTCTTGAACTTCATTAGCAATCTCAAGCATGTCTGCCATGTCATCTTGAAGATCCTTGAGAAACAGTTATGAAATGTCCAAAATGTTTTCATAAATAATATTATTTGTGGAGGTCATATCTTCATTCTTACAGTAGTATGAAAAAGGTTTCATATAAAGTCAAGTGTATTTCAAAGGGGGTATTATAGTGGTATGATAATTTTGTAATGTTAAATCAGTGATGACTCTGCTGGAGTAACTGCTAAGAACTAGAAATCTCGTTATTCTGAATGTTTCTTTTAAGGCTAGGTTAAAAACTATTCAGTAAATCTTTGTAGCTAGAAGTAATAACTACAGCATGTATTCTGAAGAGGTTTGCCTCATATGTCACTGACTCATGGATAGGTTAGTAATCTCACAAGCTTGAAATATGAAATATTATCAGCGTTCCTGCCTAGAATATCTTAAAGTAACAAAAGCAATTCTTTCCATTAGGAGGGAAACAGTATCACAATGAAGACACAAAACTTTGACTTCACCATACCTCAATTTCATCAATATCCACTTTCTTGTATTCCTTCTTCATTTCCTTAAGTCCTAACTTCATAGCATCAACCTAAGAGTAAAATATTGCAAAACTAATGATAATAACACAGGCAATGATTATTACAATTGTATGCCATAAAAATGCTTTAAAACAAATCATGAGCAAGATAAATTAGAAGTTAAAAGTTCACAAAAACATTTGCAAACTTTAAACTTCTCTATACCTGCATCATTTACAAGCAGAATTACTTACAGTTGTTTTGGTATCTTTTAATGTCTGTGTTGCAAAATTTGTTTGCTCCATGTTAAAAGACTGCTGCCGGAGATTCTCAAGTTGACTTTCATATCTGGTGGGGCAAAAGAATATTTAATTATTTGAAAGGAACTTGATGCCCTTTGTAGTTAAACATATTTCATTGCTTCATCAGTCAAAATTACCCATCTCTTCTATGCATCATGAGAGAGAAACATTTACCTCTAATGAAAGCTAGAATGTGTATACACTTACTTGAAGCCATGAACATAATATTCAGGACAACAAACCAGTTAGAGACAAACTTTGGAAGAGGGTTTGAAGATTTACTCCTGGATATAACTGACTCTTTTAGTAAAAAGGTTCATAATTTAGAATTTTACTATGGTCTTTATTCCCAGCTTTTCCACTGGTACAGTGTCAATATCTATAATCAAGTAAACTTACTGTTTCTTCTGTTTCAGTACTCTGAGTGCTCTTTGCTTGATCATATTCTGTAATCAATAACCATTCAAAGTTGAACAAGTTGAGTAAAGGTTGTGAAATAAATACTACACTGTGTTTGTATGACATAAAGTGAGAAGGCCAAACATTAGGAGCAATTCTGTACTAAGCATAAATATATATGTGTGTGTGCATGTTTGTATAAATTAGAATCTCTTTAAAAAGTTGGTAGATTTCAAAATTAAACAAATGGAACAAGGAGGGTACAAGAATTGAAAATAAAACATTTGGTACACAGACCATGTAATACAGCTTGTCTGGGTGTTATGTGAGCTTCTTTCAAGCTAGACCTTTACTTAAACAAAGACACATGGAGAGTGATAAT